TGGTTCTGTGATTTTAAGGGTAAGCTTGTTCTTTATCACCAGTGGAGTTGGTGTAGCGACAACTTGAGACTAATGGTTCATTGACTTTTCTCAAGTCGACGGCTTCCCTCGGAGTAGCATTGAAAAAGTCAAGGACGGTGTTAATCTGCAATCGTTCAGCCCGTCGTGATTAGGGTTTTGTCACGGCATGGCGTTTGAACGAGGGGATGGCATGTTGATGCGATTTTATTCTCCGGTTCCTTCTTCGTCCGATAAAATTTCGCTAGATGCGACTGTCAGGGAACTTGAGAGTGTGTCCCTCTCCTCTGTCTGTCCAAAATTGAGATTATCTTCTAGCCCCTCCTTGGTGCTAGCTTTTCCGGGTCGCCGATTTGTCCATATGGTGGTCAAAGATGTCTTTTCTGATCTATATCGATGACTTCTCCACCGCTGCTTCTTCAAGCTCTTGAATTTCAACAAGGTTTGCTCCGGTAATACGGGGACCTAGAGTCGAACTCTGCTGGCAACGCGCCATCGATGACTGCAGAAGGAGGACAATGCTGGTTTCATCAGTGATTTGCTTATAATTTCATATTCTTTCAAGGCTCTTTGTGCATAGGTTAGTATCATTTTATATTTAAAAACAAAAGGAAAAATTGTACCTAACCGAAAATTTTAACATTTACAAAATCAGTTCATACTACAAAGAAGGAAGTTATAAAGAAATCAATTTAACACAGGTAAAATAAAATAAAATGAAAAATAGAGAGCGACCAGCGAACACAATAGTGTGTGGGCTAAGCTAGGGAGCGGCGAAGCAAGTGGAACAGTCGACCCGGCCGGCCTCCCCACCTGAATCCAGATCCCTCTCCGCTCCGCTCTCCTCACCTACCTCGTCGCCACGGACAAAAACCCCGGCCGCTCTCCACCCTGAACCGCCGAGCCGCGGCGTCGATGCAGTCGCCGGAGTCCTCCTCCTCCGCCGCGCCGGTCCTCCTCAACATCGGTCCGTCCCTTATTCCTCGCTCCCGTCTGGCCCACGCGGTCGCGAATTCGAGGCTTATCACTGCGGTGTTGTCTGTGCCGCAGGGGGGACGAAGTACGCGACCACCGCCGAGACGCTCACGCAGCGGGAGCCCGACTCCATGCTCGCCGCCATGTTCAGCGGCAGGCACACGCTCCCGCACCACCCCACCACGGTACGGTCCCTCGACGGCGCTCCCTGCCTCTCTCGTTGCGATTTTCCGGCAGCTGTAGGCTCAGAGGCTCAGTGTGGGTGCAGGGGGCGGTGTTCGTGGACAGGGATGGGAAGCATTTTAGGCACATCCTCAATTGGCTAAGGGACGGTGCCATCCCCACGCTCTCAGAATCCGGGTACCACCAACTCCTGCGAGAAGCGGAGTACTACCAGTTGCTCGTAATAGATTCAGAAACTCTCCATTGTACATTTGATTCATTGGGTTCTAGCTTCAGAATCAGATGTAGTCCTATCATGATGATTTGTTTTGTAGGGTTTGGCTGATTACATAAATGAGAAATTGGCTTTGAAAAAGACTGACAATTTGTGCGAGGCCGAATTGACACGCAAAGATGTGATCAAGTGCATTCAAGCCCAGAAAATCAGATTTCGTGGCCTGAATCTATCCGGCCTTGATCTATCTAAGCTTGTAAGATTCTAGGGAAATTCTTCTCTATTGCCATTACTGTTTACAGCTGCAATTCCTGTACTTAGTCAGCTTATCTTACATAGATGATAAAGTCGAACAAGCAATTTTCCTTTTTCCCAAGTTTTTCCTTGTTTACTAATTGCACTATTGTAAATGCATTTTTTGGTACTTTGCAGGACTTATCAGAGGTGGACTTCAGCTATGCGTGCATCGAGAGAACCAACTTTTCGTGTGCTAATCTTCATAAAGCGAAGTTTAGGGTATATCACATTATCACTCACACCAAGATTTTGCACTGTCAGTTATCTTCTTTCGAAGCAGTTCAATCCAGTTTCACTACCTAAATGGAACTTGCCAAGGCATTCTTGTACGGAACATGAAATACTATATCATCAATGTGTTGCACTGCATGTTTTTTTGCAGCTGGTGGAAGCTGCACATTCTTCATTTGAACAGGCAAATTTACATGAGTAAGATACACCGTCGATCTTCTTCTGGTCTCGTAGACAGTATCTAAGATGATATTTTCTATCCTTTTCTTTTTGTATGGGTGCCTAACAAACTGGTTAATATCCATTTCCCTCCTTATATGCTGATTTTTGTTTGTATATGCTGTTTGTAAGTGCTCATTTTTGGGTAATAACAGGTGTGAGCTTACTGGAGCAAATCTTCAAGAAGCTGTCCTAGACAGAGCAAACGTTCAAAGCGCAAACCTGCAAGGTATACAGTCCCCCCACCCTAACCCAAATCATGTATTTAACTTGATCGCAGCTTATTTTGTATTGTTTATACACACTGTTTATTGCTATTGTAAATCTGAAGCTTCTCCTGTTTCTGCATTTTCTTGTCTTTGTGACCACTGTATCACTAGGGCAGTTCTTTGTAACTTATCATGTTAAGCTGTCCTTTGCCCTCTATTTCCCTTTGGGGCGTGCAAAAGTAGATTTAATCATATACTTGAAAAGATTCTTATAAGTTGCTATGGTTCACAAAACCAAGTATGAAGTGATTGATTTGCTCGACCAATTTTGCAGATGCATGCTTAACGGGATGTAGCTTCATTGAGACAGATGTCCGTTCAGCCCATTTACAGGTTTGCAAATTGTTGTGAGTAGTGTATTTCTTCATAAACATTCCCTGTTTTTTGCTTTGCTGCTGAAAGTCCCTGCTGACATATGAAGTCGCTGTTCATCATACAAAATAATCATAATGAACAACACATACACAAAGCATTGTTTATAAGGCATCCCGCCTTGGACGCTTAGGCGACAAGGCGCCCTGGCAGTGCATTACAATTATGTCTTCTTTAGGCGCTTAGGCGTCAGGGTGGTTGGTGCTCGTCTTACCGCGTTATAAACAACGACGCAAGCATACTTGTGAGATGCTAGTTCTGCCACAAGTGGCATTTAGCTATATCTATTTTCCAGCTCTGCAACGTGTGTAGCATCCGAAATATGTAAGCAGAGTCCAGCACATGCCCAAAGTATTAACTGCATACAGGACATATGTTGTATCTATTTGTATTCATAGTTCCATGTTGTTCTTCCCTAGATAGTCACACGTAGAAGCTTCCTGTGGAGTTACTTTTAGCAATGCAAAAAGCATCAAACTATGGGTGCTGATTATTCATTTCTTATGTATCTTATCCAGTCCTTGCCCGAAGTTTGAACTTCATACAGGACACATTTCTATCTTTTTGTCCCCATAGGTCCATGTTCTTCTCTAGATAGTCGCACATAGAAGCTTCCCATAAAAAATATTTTTAGTAATTAGAAAATGTCAAAGTGGGTGTTGATTATTTCATTTCCTGTGTGTCTTATTGTGAATTCCAATGAACTTTCAGAATGCTAATCTTACGGGTGCCGATTTGAATGGAGCTAACCTTGAAGGGGCCAATCTCAAGGTAAAATAACTTTATGATAGAAATTTATTAAAACGACTCACGCTACAGTCTGCTGATTATCTGGTTCATATCTAGTGTGGTACAATATCTTGTCGTCAAACTATTGTAGGAAATCTTAGTATGTTACAAAATCTGTTTATGATTATTAATAGAGTAACTTAAATAATGCTATACCTCTTTGTCCAGTGCCAGTGTCAAACATTTGATATAAGTACCTAACACTACCTGCCAGAGTGTTCATATATATTCCCTCTGTAAAGAAATATAAGAGCGTTTACCGTTTAGATCACTACGTTAGTGATCTAAACGTTCTTATATTTCTTTATGCATGCCTTCTCATCGTAAAGCTTGAATTTTAATTTTATGGATTTGTAGTCTGTTTTTACTCTCATGTTTGGAACTGAAGAGTTTGAAACTTCCAGTTAAAATAAAGTGTGCTATCATCTTAAATGTTCTTCAGTACTAAGTAGTGTCATAATGTCAACATATACAAACATCTATTTGAATTAAAAAAAACGTGCTTAAAGGTGGAAGTTCCCTCCCTTAATTGTACGTTTTTAGGTAGAAATGTGACCTCCCTGTGGATCGAACGTGGCTGGGCAAGCTTACACCCATGAGCTCTAGCCATCCGAGCCAGCGTTCAGTTCTCACAAACATCTACTCCCTCTGTAAACAAATATAAGACATTTTAGATCACTACTTAGTGATATAAAACGTCTTATACTTCCTCCGTCCTGAATTACTTGTCGCAGAAATGGATAAAAATGGATGTATCTAGAAGACTAGAACTAAAATACGTCTAGATACATTCATTTCTGCAACTAGTAATTTTGGACGGAGGGAGTATTTGTTTACAGAGGGAGTATTTATCAGGGCTTTCTTTAGTTCTCTGTAAGCATCTAACATTCACAGAAGTTAAAATGTCCTAACCCTCAGTAAACTATCATAACATGGAGTACCCATCATCTTTGTCCAGAATATTGACTGTTCGATATGTTACGCAAGCCATGTTGTTACTTATTCTATTTGATGAAGCATGCATAAATGAATGGAGAAGTCAAACATTTTTTTCTGGTGTCTTACCTGACAACATACTTGTCCTCACTATGTCATTCATACCCCCTATGCTAAGCTAGTCTGGTTTGCAGGGGGCTAAGTTGTCAGGTGCAAACTTGCAAGGGGCAAATCTTCAGCGAGCCTACTTGAGAGAAGTTGATTTGCGTGAAACTGTATGTTGTCCTGTTTGCTATTTACTTTACCTGAATAGTGAATTTTTCACTTCATGCATAATTTGGTCAATTTATCTACTCCAATTATTTTGCAAATACAAAGAGCAATAGTTTGTTATATACTCCCTCCGTTCCCAAATATTTGTCTTTTTAGAGATTTCAACAAGTGACTACATACGGAACAAAATGAGTGAATCTACACTCTAAAATATGTCTACGTACATCCGCATGTTGTAGTCCATTTGAAATGTCTAGAAAGACAAATATTTGGGAACTGAGGGAGTATATTCTTGTTTCATTTTTTTGCTATATAGGATTAGAAATCCTGAAGAATCTTGCATTCTTTTGTTTACCTCCTTCATCTTAAAAATTAAACTATGTCTGCTTTGGTAACAGGATTTAACCGGTGCTAAGCTTGGAGGAGCAAATCTTCTTGGAGCTATCAGATAGTACAAGAGAGGCTGACATCATGTACACTTTACAAAATTGATCTGTCACCTACAATGTCTTGCGGTTTTGATCTTAGTGGTTGTGATGGAAAAGAGCAGTACATCTGAAGAAAAACTCAAATGCAAATGGGTACGCAAACGATCAGGCATTTGGTGTACCAAAACACATGCACGCCGGGGCAAATAGTTTCTTGCTATGCCTCTCAGTGTTGATTGTTGTACAAAGAATTGTTATATCACACTCCGGCTAGAATTCGATGAGTCTGGCTAGTTGTTAATGTTAGATACCTGTGCTAAATCTTCATCGTGTTGCAAGGAATTCGATATGTGCACAGCTGTTGCATATGGGGATGCTGTATCTGTATCTGAATTGTTGGAGGAGGCTGCTGTATGCTGTTTCTTCTGCGTGGATTGCAAAGGATACGTGGTGTATGCCTGGTTTGTGGATTGTTCCAGGCACTTGCGTTCTCAGAGCAGTCACATTCTCACTTGTTTCGAGGCAAAGTTTTATCTTTTCCTTGTTTTAACAGCAGCAGGGTACTAGATATAGCGTACTCCCTCCGTCCAGTGAAAAGTGTACATCTAATATTTTTATGACAAATTATGGAGTAGAGTAAAAGTGCATCGGGAAGATGCAATCCATCGTCTTTCTTCTTTTTAATTATCCAACCCTCAATGAGCCAAGTGCACGTAGAAATTAAGAAGACTATGTATAGAATGTTATTGATCTTGATTACTGTGTGATAAAAGAAAATCATTTTTTCTACTTTAAAATGCATTGCGAAGATAGAAGTACACTCGTTTGTGGACAAATTTTAAACCCAAACGTACACTTTTCACCAGACGGAGGGATGTACAACCATTGATGAGATGTTTAAGTTGCAGGGACTGAGATCATATTTGCACGTTACTGTATCTCCACCGGGAATTGAGACCATGTGGGGGTGTGGTTGGTTGCGTGCATTAGGTACAACTAGACCCGTGCGGTGTAGTTTCGGCATGTTTGGTTGCTGCCTTGCACCAAAATCTTTGTCTGCACGAACCTTAGAGCACCTCCGGGCCTGGCTGAGGAGGAACGCTCAAATCGGCCGTTTTTCCACAGCCAGCCCCAAGGGATGCAGCTCGAGGCATGTGGGCATCAGAGGCTATACGCGAGGAGGCACACTCGAGAGTGCTTCCCGAAGCGCCGCCTTGACTCCCCTCACCCTTCTCTCACCGCTCACTCTCCCCTTTCTCCACTCTCACACTAGTGGCGGCGAGCACAAGATTTGGATGGCGAGCACCGGCGTCGAGCACCGGAGCCAAGATTTGGATAGTGAGCACCGGCGTCGATCAATGACCTCATCGCCTCACCGGCAGGCGTTAGTCAATGTCAGCAAGCCCTCTGTATGGAATTGATTTATCATGCCCACATTCTATTAGGCATCACGCACTAGCATCCAATCTACCTCTTGGGTTTGATTTGGTACCCGATTTAGGCATATCTGATTAGAGATTTGAGTGCTTCGAATGGGAT